ATAATAATGATTAAACATTTGTTAACTATCATTGTAAAATAATCATGTATATTTGAATAAGAATTTTATAAATTGATGGGTACTGCCCGGGGACGTGTTCTATCTATGTTATTGTGAGAAACATTTTCTGAAATACAGAAGGTACTATATAGGAATGCAAGCTAACCAGCAGCCATACCGACCCAGTGCCAGTTGTAGTTAATAACTAAATACGTATATTGTCTGGGGTAACCTGTGTAAATACCACGTGCACTTGAACATTTCGGAAATCTAACTATGTAAAAAAGCATACAACTCAAAACTGAGGTATACACAAAACAGCGAACTTTGCCTTCGGGATTTGCAGCTTTATATTTGTTTTTGTACAATCTTATAAGTTCAATGTGATATTTCTGTATTATCAAACACAGCGAATGCACTCTCGCCCACTACAGCTACAAGCACGAGACAGATTGTCCAAAACATACTCGTATTTGACTTAAAATATCAGCATGTTGCACTATAAGCATGTAGTTTTATGTAGATATGTAGTCATTTAGCATGATTGATAAACCCTTTAAAGGTAAACACATGTACCAAGTGTAGTCAAAATGAATTAAAGCTGATGTGGGGTATACATTAAGGGGACAGTTATCCAACAACACAAATAACTAGAACAACACGGTTTCAATAATTTTTCGCCAAATACACCAGGAAAAAATTAGCAGTCATAAAATAAGACTGAGAAATAGTTAAATAGTATTTATATTCTGCCTTATGTACTAAGTAAATATCTGCTAGCAATGAGAGACAGCTTAGTGAAAATTAAAAAAAAATTTATAGGATTGACATCACAAATTACGGAAACTGCAAATCGCATTATAACAGGAAACATATTCCAATCTTGCTGAAACTGCAAATCACATCATACCAGGAAATATCTTCTTATACATAACCAGTGACCGTAAACTTCGAATTGATAGAACTAAAAATCGTGTCTTAGTAATTCCGATCATCTGATTTTTCCGACAATAATGTTAATCTGGTATTAAACGTGTAAGACTACTTTTAATCGGTGACGATGTTTAAGTTCGATTGACACCTGCATATAGGGTATGTATTCCCAGTTATTTCCTTGATAGATCGTTTCCACTTACACAGAAGCTATTGAAACAAGGGTTATTAATGGTATAGATGAAGTTATCTTCTCGCAGGTTGAATGGACGTCGTCATAACTTGGTTTACCGTTCAGAAATGTCTGTCACATATTACTGGATATGTTCAATTGGTCGTAACCACAATCGTCTGTGTGTCGACTGTTCCTTACCTAGCACTCTTATTATTTCGGAACATGGTGTTTTTCTATGTTTGTTTTGTTTTGCTTTGTTTTGTTTTTTTGTTTTTTGTTTTTTTTTTTGGGGGGGGGGGGTGCCCTCTTCGTACCTCCTTACCTTTTAATAAATGTTTATTTACGCAGAGTATTGCGACATCATTTATTGAAATAGACTAGACGGTGGTTGGTAAAAGGGCGGACGTCATGCGGCCGAGATTTTAGTTAATTAACCATGATGCAGCCTTGCATTTTGGTAATTTCTTAAGCAAGCAGATAACATGGAAAGTCTAGAAGTAAATGTTAGCATTCCTATTAATTGCATGACTCTTTGTGGCCCACAGACGATTGCAGGGAGCAATATGTGTTCCTGTGTGTGCAACCGTCTGTCCCGTATCAGGTGCAGTTTTGTTTAATGGTAAATTACAAAACTCTGTACCAAGTCAGAAATGTGACGGTTATTTCCCATTCGTTCCGTTGGTTGATAAAGTGTCATGTTTGACCTTACAGTTTTTATGGACTTCCCCCTTTTTGAATTTACCTTGGATTTCGGTATTTTGTTATACTTTTTTTACCATGAAGTTGTGGGTCATATTGATTTGAAAATTAGTGTAACTGTTCATTATGTTGTAAATCTTTCAAAACATATGCTGAACTAGGGTTTTGACCAAGATTTCGCGGTTCGCTGAACAAGGAAATGTGATAGTGCAACTGAGGAATGGACACATATTCTTGTTTAAGGATGTTTGCTACTCTGTTTTAAAATAACAAGCTTTTTAAAAGACTGTTATCAATTGATAGTATATAAATAAAGGAACTTAAAAAGCAAAACAAAAATGAAGGGTCCGTGTGCTTTTTTTCGAGATATAAACCATTGAAAATTTGGCGGGAAATAATTCTCTCTACATTATTCATATATTTAACATTGGCTCTTGTTTTCTTTCAAACGCTATGAAAAAATAACAAGGATTTTTTAAGATTTCAAATATAGCTTTTTTAAACTTTATTTAATAAAATAATGAAAAGAAAAGTAGGGGTTATCAGGTTAAAAAATTTAATGGTACTACATGGATAAACCTAGAGGATTCCAAATACCTGGCAAAAATTCAAAAAACAAAAGGAGCGAACATCCTTAAGGACTGCTAGTATGCATAAAAGTAATTTATTTGACAACATTCGTATTCATTTTCTGAAATACAGAAGCCATACCGCCCCACTGCCAGCTGTAGTGAATAACTAAATACGTATATTGTCTGGAATAACCTGTGTCAATACCACGTGCACTTGAACATTTCGGAAATCTAACTATGTAAAAAAGCATACAACTCAAAACTGAGGTATACACAAAACAGCGAACTTTGCCTTCGGGATTTGCAGCTTTATATTTGTTTTTGTACAATCTTATAAGTTCAATGTGATATTTCTGTATTATCAAACACAGCGAATGCACTCGCCCACTACAGCTACAAGCACGAGACAGATTGTCCAAAACATATTCGTATTTGACTTAAAATATCAGCATGTTGCACTATAAGCATGTAGTTTTTTGTAGATATGTAGTCATTTAGCATGATTGATAAACCCTTTAAAGGTAAACACATGTACCAAGTGTAGTCAAAATGAATTAAAGCTGATGTGGGGTATACATTTAGGAGACAGTTATCCAACAACACAAATAACTAGAACAACACGGTTTCAATAATTTTTCGTCAAATACACCAGGAAAAAATTAGCAGTCATAAAATAAGACTGAGAAAAAGTTAAATAGTATTTATATTCTGCCTTATGTACTTAGTAAATATCTGCTAGCAATGAGAGACAGCTTATTGAAAATTAAAATGCAAATCGCATTATAACAGGAAACATATTCCAATCTTGCTGAAACTGCAAATCACATCATACCAGGAAATATCTTCTTATACATAACCAGTGACCGTAAACTTCGAATTGATAGAACTGAAAATCGTGTCATAGTAATTCTGATCATCTGTTTTTTTCCGACAATAATGTTAATCTGGTATTAAACGTGTAAGACTTCTTTTAATCGGTGACGATGTAAAAACGGTTCGATTGACACCTGCATATATGGTATGTATTCCCAGTCATTTCCTTGATAGATCGTTACCACTTACACAGAAGCTATTGAAACGAGGGTTATTATTGGTACAGATGAAGTTATCTTCTCGCAGGTTGAATGGACGTAGTCATAACTTGGTTTACCGTTCAGAAATGTCTGTCACTTGTTACCATGGATATGTTCAATTGGTCGTAACCATAATCATCGTTGTGTCGACTGTTCCTTACCTAGCACTCTTTTTATTTCGGAACATGGTGTTTTTATTTGTTTTGTTTTGGTTTTTTTGTTTTGTTTTTTTCGTTTTTTTTTATTGTTTTTTTTTTTTTTTGCCATCTTCGTACCTCCTTACCTTTTAATAAATATTTATTTACGCAGAGTATTGCGACATCATCCATTGAAATAGACTAGATGGTGGTCGGTAAAAGGGCGGACGTCATGCGGCCGAGATTTTAGTTAATTAACCATGATGCAACCTTGCATTTTGGTGATTTCTTAAGCAAGCAGATAACATGGAAAGTCTAGAAGGAAATGTTAGCATATCTATCAATTGCATGACTTTTTGTGGCCCACAGACGATTGAAGGGAGCAATAAGTTTTCCTGTGTGCAACCGTCCGTCCCGTATCAGGTGCAGTTTTGTTTTAAGGTAAATTACAAAACTCTGTACCAAGTCAGAAATGTGACGGTTATTTTCCATTCGTTCCGTTGGTTGATAAAGTGTCATGTTTGATTTTACAGGTTTTATAGATTCCCCCTTTTTGAATTTACCTTGGATTTCGGTATTTTGTTATACTTTTTTTACCATGAAGTTGTGGGTCATATTGATTTGAAAATTAGTGTAACTGTTCATTATGTTGTAAATCTTTCAAAACATATGCTGAACTAGTGTTTTGACCAAGATTTCGCGGTTCGCTGAACAAGAAAATGTGATAGTGCAACTGAGGAATGGACACATATTCTTGTTTAAGGATGTTTGCTACTCTGATTTTGACTTAGATTCCGCGGTTCGCTGAACAAGGAAATGTGAAGGTGCAAGTGAGGAATGGACACATTTCTTGTTTAAGGACTGCCAGTATGCATAAAAGTAATTTATTTGACAACATTCATATTCAAGATGGTGTTGCTATAAATGAAAAGAGGTTCCTTATTCCAATGTCCTGTTTTTCACAAAAGCTCAATATTACACCCGTTTTCAGATATCGAGATTCACTCGTTTGGTGGAAGGCTGAATTGAAAATGGAAATCTGACAGTAAACCAATATTGTTGTAAACATTAAAGTACTTTTCTTTGAAGTGGAAATCGCAATGTTGAAAAAATGCAAGTCAGCCAGTATTAAAACAAAAAAAAAAACACATTAATTGTAATTAAGTCAAATATATTTCGTAACTTGTTATGTAATTTCAAACAAACCCGAATAAGTAAATTGGAAACAAAATACGATCCTTGAAGTTCCAACACTATAAAAGCGTCCAATAGTTTCATATATTTATTTTTAAAAAATGAGGGGTGTCCAGGCGTACCTGGTCGTGGACCAAGTACATGTAATCAAGTTCTCATAAATATATTCGATTCTTATTTAACATGAACAATGTTGCTATTGTTTTCAATATTTCAGGATACGCCTGTCCACATCATGGTTTACATTACTGCTGATGACCAGTTGTGTTCTAACAGAACAAAAGGTGAGGTTCATTTCAACATCGTATTGTACTTAGGACTAGGATTGAAAATGACGATTACATGTAGTTGAGATTTGAATCTTTTAAACTTATGGAACTTAACATTATAATAATAACACAGTGTATATGACAGTAATGATCCCTTTTCCCTCTTTTGAATTACATCACGTGACACAATGAAAATATGCAGCATTTATAAAATGTGTATACTTTTAATACATTAATGACTGCTATTTAGTTGACCTATCTTCTGCAAACGCTATGAGAAACATTTTCAATCAGATTTTGCTAATATTCTTGAGTCTTCCTCCGGCAGGCAGTAAAACCCTTGGCAAATCGGGCGTCCGTTTGGTTATGCGGGATGTATAAATTTGCAGCCACGTCCGATCCGAATGGGTACATTTGTTGAATCTGATGCCTCGTGTAGAGAGAGTGCGACGCTCATTGCACGTTGAAAATCCTAGCATCAACTTTTTAAGGGTCCGTAGGTAGCCTGTTGTAAGGCTAAATTTCGGTCCCTATCCAATATACCCTCAGTTTTTCAGAAGGTTAATTACAAAGAAATGGTAGTAAAATTACCTAAACCTGTATTTTAGTAAAAATGCATTTTATTTGGGATATTATAAAACAAGCATGAAAGAGTGATTATTTATTACATGCATGTCCAATATCGTAATACGTACATAGTATATGCGTATGCTTGCGTGATAATCATAATTCTCTTGTTTCATTCAGACTTCTCAGAGATCAGTATTCATGGAATGGACTCCTTGGACAATTTGTTCAAAAACGTGCAATCAAGGTATACAAATGAGGACGAGAGATTGTGTCAATACGTAAGTTGTAATTATAATAAAATATCACTTACCATTGAAAGCACACAATCATCAGGTTTTATTTCTTTTTTGCTCTCCTTATTTGACTATTATGGGTTTTCCTGACCTTGTAAAACCATTATTGAATAGTTTTGCAACCATACCAAGCTTTTTGTGGTCCGTTTTCGTCATAGAGCTTTTCAAATGTTTCGGTTCTATTACATCATTGGCCCTCAAGTATTCGGGTTTGGGCGTTCCTGATGAAGGTAAATCAAGAAAAGTGCTTTGGACGCATTTTCAAAGTGTTTCCATTTTTTCAGATATTCTTTTAAAATTAGGGTACAGAATATGATAATTTTTATTAAGTTCATTTAATGTTAACTAATGGTTAGTTTTGTTTTGTTGTGTTTTTTTTTTTTTTTTTTTTTTTTTGCTTTTCTAGCACGTATTACGTCAGTACGTTTCTGGTTTTCATGATTTCATTTTGATATCTTCATATACTTATTGTAGATTTCGTAGCGAAATTTCATGATGTTGTTTTTAAGTTCACATTTCCAAATATTGATAATAGAGAAAAGCTTTGAAGCTTTAAACACATTTTAGATACAGATTAAGTTTATACAAACGTCATCAGTATTGTTTTTACTCCTTTTAATTCATAAATGTTTAAATAATTACGATGGATAAGTAACTGATATATATTGTTTATATTACAGAAGTAAAGACTGCAACCAAACTGAGAAGCAATTAAAAGTTTGTCAGCAGCAGGTAATAATTGTGATCCAAACTTATTGCATATATCTTCAGTTAAATTTGTCTGTGTGCTATGTAGTCAACACTTCTTGTTGACATGGATTATCACTAATTTGGTAATATTACATGTACTAAATTAACTGCTTACAAAACTTTGAATTGTTTGAAATACTAAGGATTTTTCTACCCGAAGAATGGATTACCTTATCTGTATTTGGCAAAACCTTTTGGAATGTTTGGTCCTCAGTGTTCTTCAAGTTCTTACTTTATTTTTCCTTTTGGGGGCATACGATATGGTTAGAGGTAACGACGTTGCTAACGTAAAATTTTAATTTTCGCGGAGTCAAATTGTAACATATCGAAAAAAGTGCATTTTTCGACTGATTTTAACCATTAGCTTGAAAAAAGAGTACATGGACCTCTCTTTTTAAAAATGACATCTGGCTTGATTTTGTATAAAGATTTTTTTGTACCATTTTTTATGACCAATGCACGATGACTTTTTTTTTTAGATTAGATAAAAATATACAGCAAAAATTTGTCACCATGTCTTTGAAAGGATATAATTAGGAAAATAAAGGTGCTATCAATTTCATTTTTTTCTCAAAAACTAAAAAGATATTCTGAACAATCGAACATCTGCATTTGTAATAAGATATTTTGACAAAGGTCCGGTTCTACCATCGATTTTTTTATATCTTCTGTAAACGATGATTGCTTAAAATCCAAACTATATATTGATATTACATGTATATGTGCTTTTGACATATTCTTCACCCGAAATTGTCATTTCATTTAATAAGGGCGCTGTCGACCAGTAGGTGATGTCATGTAGCAATTACTCTTTCTATCTATCATTCTGTTCGTCAGCACTTTTTGTCGTACGATAAGACAAGATTGCCTTAACCGATTTACATATTGTTTATATATATATATATATTGAAAAGTTATAAAATGAGAGTCTATCCTAAATAGAGGTAAATTATATGGCCTTCCAAATACCGTTTCGATTCATAACATCACTGAAGAGACATTAATTGTCGAAATCCGGATATGGTGTACAAATTTTTGCACCTCATGATTGCGGTATACCATCTTTTCCGTAAGTTTATTGTTTTCTGTTTGGTATTAAATTAATAATAAAGATCCATTTTGTTATCTCATGTGATCTGTCCAATGGCAGTCAGCAGGGTTTAAGAACATCCGTTGTTCGACCTGTTAGTCAAACGCGTTTTGTTTAAATATACTTTTTCACTTTTTGTGGAAAATGTTGTTTGTGCTATATTTGGACCCCTCTACCAAGAAATTTGTTTTGCATGCACACGTATAAAAATTGCGGTTTTTATCCAACGCAATCATAGGTTTGAACGTTGTTTTCAATTTAGACTTATTTATATTTTTCCGTTTGGGCTTGTATTATATTTGCCTTCGGGTTTATATGATCCGTTCATCCTATTTCGACTCTTCAAAATTCAAGAGTCTATCCTAAATTGAGATAAATTAAATGGCCTTCCAAATACCGTTTCTATTCCTAACATCACTGAAGAGACATTAATTGTCGAAATCCGGATATGGTATACAAATTTTTGCACCTCATGTTTGCGGTATACCATCTTTTCCGTAAGTTTATTGTTTTCTGTTTGGTATTAAATTAATAATAAAAATCCATTTTGTTACATCATGTGATCTGTTTATTTGGCAATCGTCAATGGCAGTCAGCAGGGTTTAAAAACATCCGTTGTTCGACCTATTAGTCAAATGCGTTTTGTTTAAATATACTTTTTCACTTTTTTGGTCTTTTGGAAAATTTTGTTTGTGCTGTATTTGGACCCCTCTACCAAGAAATTTGTTTTGCATGCACACGTACAAAAATTGCGGTTTTTATCCAACGCAATCATAGGTTTGAACGTTGTTTTCAATTTAGACTTATATATATATATATATATATATATATATATATATATATATATATATATATACAGGTTCCAGCCTCGGTTGGGGAGGAAGTAAAGAATCATATCAACTCTAACATTGTTAGGTTGATTTTCCAGGCACTTTATATATATATTTATACATACATACCTTCTCTAAATGTATTTATATATTTATATACAGTGGTAATACCTATTAAGATAAGACCTCTTTCCAAATTGATTCCCTGTGTCAAAATTTATTAATGTATACAACATTTCTCTTTTCGTGCATGAGATCTTATTATTTGTTTCTGTGTCTCACAAAAAGGTGCAAGCGTGCTCTTAATTCTGGTTATACTTACATTAATAATATGAAATCTTCTTGTTATTTTAGACTGAAGTTTGTCTTGGTACATAAATGTATAATTATGTAAAATTTGTTTCTTCAATTTATGGCCTTTGATTGACCTTTGGTACCGTACGTTTTGATTTAAAATTTTCTGTTCCGTGTACTGTTTAGACTGAAGTTTATCTTGTTAATTATGTTGATTGTTTTCCTTCAATCTATGGTTTTTGATTGCCGCCCCTTTGAAACCTACTCCCTTACATTTTGATTATAAATTTTCAGTTTCAAAATTGTGCACTGTTTAGACTGAAATATATCTTGGTACAGTAATCATGTTTATTGCTTTCATTCAATTTATGGCTTTTGATTGCCCCGTTGGTACCTACCCCCCTACGGTTATATATTTTCAGTTTCAAAATTGTGTACTTCATCCGAAACATGTATATGTATAGTGTTTTTATGCCAACTTTTAAACTTAAAATATGGTTGTCTTGAAGATGGATATGAAAAAACAAGTGGGAGGTTTAGCTAGCTATAAAACCAGGTTGATCCCATCATTTTTCTTCGGAAAATGTCTGTACCAAGTCAGGAATATGACATTTGTTTTCCATCCATTCCGTTCGTTGACATAGATTTTTCCATTGTCAAGTTTTATGGACTCTTCCCCTTTTCGAATTTACCTTGGATTTCGGTATTTTTGTAAATTCATTTGTACATATTTAGATGGTCTACGTAAACACGTTAACTGCATAAATGATTTGTTTTAATTTCAGGAATGCAAAGGAAAAGTTAGAGATTCCAGAGATCTTCAATGTCAACATTTCAGTAACAAGGTTGTTCATAGAAGGAGGCATCATTGGTATGGATATACGCATGGTATGTCTAGATATTATTTTATCGATGAAGTTGATAAAATTGCATAAATTAATGTATGAAATGTACTTAAAATGTAACAGATATTTTACGTAATCGGGTTGAAATTGAAATATTTAAAACTTGTTTATTTCAGTCCCGCAGAAACTTGAAACAAATCAACTGTTCGTAGGTACTTGAAGTCCATACACTATCGTTACCAAATATTTGAAAAATAAAACTGAAATTGCAGTCTTGTATTCAGTTATGTAACTGTAACAATAGTTTCTTTTCCCTTTTCCCTTTAGCTTTCATGAACTTTTTTGCTCAGCTTTTGAGGCACAATTTCTTTGGTGCTTTCACAAAGAGGCGGAAGATACCAAGGGAACATTTAAAACTCTTAGTCAAAAAGAAACTGACAACGCTATGGCAAAAAACGAAATGCTAATATATTTGCCTCCCAAACATTTGGCCTCAAGAAACACTTTTCATTGACACTGAAATTAATATAAAGACGTCATTTAGAATAGAAAGAACAGGGAATACACGATGAAGTAAACGTCCAATATCTATTCTAAAACACTAATGTCCATATATACTACCTAATTTTGGAGAAATTTCAATTCTTATTACATTCATTCGAGTCATTATGGAATATCATTATGGCGTGTTTGCGTATTTGCACAGCCACACGAACGCTGTTTTGTATTTATACATCCTAAGAGTCAAAAGGATTAAAGAGTAAATGTCTAATGAGCCTGGCTAAGCCCGGATCAGTTGGGTCTAAACTGCGTTTTACTCCGTCCTGCACCGCTTCTTAAATGTATTTATCGATGTAATTTGTCAATTTTGATAATCTCTTTTTAAATATAAATAAATATCTTGTTGTTTTTAGTAGGTGTGTCAATTTGCCGTAAATCAATATAAAACATTTATTATTTAAGAATACATTAGGGTATAAGCTAACTTGTACCTTGATCCTCCCACCCCCAGTCGATGATCATAACTCGGTGCACGATTTAGACTTAAGGTAAAAGGTTTTTGGAAACGTAATAAAAAACATAATCATAAGAATTGTGAGTAAAACTAATTGAGACATTGAGTTGCAGTATCAATTAACTTTACTCGCAATACTTATAATTATGTTTTTTATAACGCATTTATAAAATATGCAATTTCAAAAGAAGAAATAGACAAAAGATATGAATAAAACGAGATGTAGAGTATACGTCACAAGACAGCAACCCAACGATGGCATCATATCATCTTCAACATAACCTAAATCAATCCGAGTCTTAAAAGCTGTGAATAAATTTAGGAGCTGCCATCAATACCCAATTCTCCAAATAACGAAAAACCAAAACGATATGACATACGACAACTAGTGATGAGGGTTCCTGACTTGAAACAGTCCATAGTACAAAGATTGACGAGTATCAACAACATAATGGTTGCGGCTTCAGTTCTGTCATCAAGTATATACATTTGACTCTTCGGCAATTTGTGCAAAGCATATACTTCTTATTTAAAGAAATATGAATTTACGGGACCTAGTGTCGATTTGACATAATTACTTATGAATCTTACAATAATTTGGTTATTCTATAAAAATAAAGTGAAATGGTATTATATGTTTAATACATGACACAATGAAGGCAAGCGAATATTTATTTAGATATAACAAGATGTGGTATGAGTGCCAATGAGACAACTCTCCAACCAAGTCAGTAACTAGCATTATTGCTGTATAAACAGATTAATCAAAAACTGCTTGATAACATAAAAATAAGAAAATGTGGTATGATTGCCAATGTGACAACTCTCCACCAGATACCAAATGACATAGGAGTTAACACATATAGGTCACGGTACGGCCTTCAACAATGAACAAATCCCATACAGCATAGTCAGCTATAAAAGCCCCGAACACGGAGGGAACTAATGGCCTGCCTTGTGTACAAAACAATAAACGAAAAACAAATATGATAAACAGCAACAAACGACAACCACTGAATAACAGGCCCCTGACTTGGGACAAGCACATACAGAATGAGGCGGGGTTAAACATGTTTGCGGGCGCCCAACCCTCCCCTAACCTGTGACAGTAGTGTAACAGCTCAACATATGATCAAACTATATAAATCAGTTGGACATTAAGAATTTTAAGCCAGTGTTTTCTGTTGTTCTTAGAAATCACTTGCATGAAGTTGCTATATGAAATTTATTTGTATAACGGCGATACTTTTCAAATAATTGCCTCACTTGAATTCTAAGCATATACTTATTGTTTGGTTTTTAGTTCAGTGGAATTGTATCTCCTCAGAATGAATGCGCATACGAATTTTGCATTACATAACTTGTACACATAAATTGAAAAAAGTAAAGTCATAAAATATAATAGTTACATGAGTCTGATAATAAAAGTGTTTATTAATTTTACAGTTTATCATACACCATTATCTTTTTATGCGTTATTTACAAAATGCATATTACGTTCGGAACATTAAGTTATTTCATAATATACGTTTCAACCTATTTAATTTGCACTACAAGAAATGAATTTACTGATTTCCAAGTGCAAAATATGAAACTTTAATGCATTAAACAGAAGATCATTGTGAACAAGTGTAATTCGTTTTAAATCGTTTTTTAGTTTATAGTATGTCTAATCAAGAGTCCCGTGTGAGTTTCATTAATACTGTAGGATTATCTAGTATTGTAAGAGGGGGTACGATACCAGGGTAGAGGAACAATCAATGCGGACATTGCAGAGTTTTTCTCATCTTACTGAAATTCAAAAATGGGATACTGGACAATCATAATTGCACAACAATGCTGCACAGTATTGTATAATGTGGTATCCTCCTTCCCCGGTTTTTCCAATCATATGAATTGTGCTAGACATATATTGTACAAAAGATATCTATAAATAAAAATTTAAGCACAACACAACATTTCGAGAATGCAAAATACAATTTTTTTTCTCACAATCTTGTGAAAATTATTTAAGTTAGCATTAATAATAATTTCAAATTTCAAAGTAGCAGAAAAGTCATCATGAAAGATTGAGATAAATGTGTGCAGCTGTGTTATTACTTACGTTCGTGTATATTGTCTGTTCTGCGTCAAAATCTATAAATTGCAGCTAATAATGTTAGTAACAGATAAATGAAAGTAACAACAATTAATATTTTACATCACTTTAATTTTTAAAGGGAACAAAAAGTAAACATCCTAATACCGACTACTCAGTATACTTGCCTTTTCTTTTGCGTCATTGCTTCAAGTGTCAGTTTGCTTAATTGTACGGAGAATGGATTGATAATAACCCTTAAAAGCAAGACACAACAAACTAACAACAGTAGGATTATTATTATCTTTATCATTCAGTTAACTAGGCTTTGGCGCCAGCAAGCATATCTAACCCCGCCACATTCTGTATGTGCCTGTCCCAAGTCAGGAGCCTGTAATTCCGTGGTTTTCGTTTGTTGCTGTATATAATATTTGTTTTTCGTTTATTGTTTTGTATATAAATCAGGCCGTTATTTTTCTCTTTTGAATTGTTTTATATCTGTCATTTCGGCTCTTTTAATAGCCGACTATGCGGTATGGGTTTAGCTCATTGTTGAAGGCCGTACGGTGACCTATAGTTGTTATCTTTTACGTTATCTGTTAGAGAGTTGTCTGGCAAACTTACCACATCTTCTTATTCGTATAAAAATAAAGATAAACAAAACGATTAAAGAAGAATTATTAATTTTGTTTGCTTTATAAATAGTGCTGCAGAAAAGAGGAATGTTTTCTATCTCATATTTGTCAACAAAACTTTGAATTTTGTAAAAACTAGACAATTGCCGTGATCATATCAATACCATGGGCAATAAACATGGCCTGTGGGTATGACATTATTAAGACGTTATCGATATTGTTGCTAATATTCCAAAAGCAAGCAGTATTGCTGATATGAAAACAAGGAGATGCGGTATGATTCCCAATAAGACAATTATCCACCAGTGACCAAATGACGTGGATGTAAGCAAATATAGGTCACTGCACGGTCTTCACCAAATTCCATACTGTATAGTCAGCTGTAAAAGACCCCGACATGATAAAATAGGAAATCATCCAAACGAGAACAAGACCAATACCGGGTCTGGATCTGTGTCGCTGCATGCTATTGATTGCGGTAATACGTATACTGGAGCATAATTGATCATTCCTTTTTACTGATGCCAAGAGAATTTTGACGAAACTTTTCTTTGTACAACGAGTGTTGTAAAATTTCAAACTATCGGCAAACAGGACATGGCTACATGGCAGATGTAAAAATAGCTCACTACAACTCAACATTATCAGGCTACAGACCCAATATTAAATCATTTCCTTCAATAGGAGCCGATAAAACTTTGACGAAAATTTTCCTTGTACAATGAGTGTTGTAAAATTTCAAACTATCGGCAAACAGGAAGTGGTTACATGGCAGATGTAAACATTGTTTACTCGCTACAACTCAACCTTATAAAACTTTGATGAAAGTTTGCTTTCGGACGGAGTCGAGCGGTAACTAGACCCGATTCCGCCTTCGGCGACGCAGGTAAAAATATCGACCTAATTTATAAAAAAAAAAACAATTAACGAAAACCAGATATGACAGACAGCAACAATTGCCAAACACTGAATTACACGCTTCTGACTTGCAACAGACTCATAACAAATGTGTCGAAAAGTTAAACATGGATTGTTTGTGAGTGCTCAACCCTCCTCCCAACATTGGACAGTGACAGATTGGGAAGCACAAACAACTAGCATAATAACAAAAGAAACAAAGTACCAGTCTACTAGAAAGAGTTGAAGACTACTTTAAATGTTTATGGTGATACACAGCTTGGGTTCATGTTTCTCAAATTGTTTTTATGCACTGGTGCATTATGTTGATAATTAATATTAGTTTGTCAGTTCTTCTTCCATAGGAGTTTGAATGTCCAATTAGAAGCTTATGTCTCGGTGTTACACAGGTGCTCCTAGAACGGAGGAAATAACTCAGAGAAGAAGAAGACAACCTAAAACACTGATGATTAAAACATTACTCAGTGGTGCTAGTTTGTAGTATTTATTTCTTTTTTTCGAAAAGTGCGAGTCAAGTTCTGTCTCTGTGTGATACGGGTGCTCCGAGAACGGTGGAAATAACTAAGAGAAGATAATCTAGAACTCTCTGATGATTTAAAATATTTCTTCAGTGGTGCGAGTTAGTAGTATTTTTTTTTTCGAGAGGTGCGAGTTCTGTCTCTGTGTGACACGGGTGCTCCGAGAAAGTAGGAATTTACTAAGAGAAGAAGAAACCAATCTTATGATTAAACACATTTCTTCGAGTTTGATATATTTCTTTTTTTTTTCTTTTTTTTTTTGAATGGTACGAAATTGATAAAGTGATGCAAGTTATAACAAGTGAAACTGCGAGCTACTGCTCACTGATGATACCCCCGCCCAAATACTTGACGGTAAACAGGAAGTTGTTGAGTAATGAATCTGAAAACGCATCACACTGTATAGGTGACTTATATAAACCCAGAAACCAAATTTCAGAAATCCATGTATTGTTGTTCCTGAGAAAAATGTGACGAAAATTTTCAACTTGGCTATCATGTGTAAAATGATGCAAGTGTTCGGTAAACATGAAGTTGTTGAGTGATGAATCTGAAAACGCATTACACGGTATAGCTGACTTATATAAACCCTGAAACCAAATTTCAGAAATCCTTGTTTTGTAGTTCCTGAGAAAAATGTGACGAAAATTTTCAACTTGGCTATCATGTGTAAAATTATGCAAGTGTTCGGTAAACAGGAAGTTGTTCAGTGATGAATCTGAAAACGCATCACACGGTATAGCTGACTTATATAAACCCTGAAAACAAATTTAAGAAATCCTTGTAATGAAGTTCCTGAGAAAGATGCGACGAAAAAATATTCATGGGACGGACGGACGGATGGATTGACTGGCATATGGATGGACTGACGGATGGACGGACGGACGGATGGACAGACCGAGGTAAAACAGTATACCCCCACTTTTTTAAAGCGGGGGTATAATAATTAGTGAGAGTGTTTGAGTTGGGCGAGTTGGCCGTGGGCCGAGTTCAAATTCAAGACAAATTGAATACAAAATCATTTCCGCCTGCTTACAAAACGTAGACGGTAAGGATCCAGCTACGGAACTTTATTTGGGGTTTAATTAATTAAGCTACGCTAATTAAAGCAATTACTGTATGGAGTTATAAAGTACATTACATACACTATAACTATTTATTAATACTTCAGACGATCGTCGACTCGGAGACAAACCGTCTTAAAAATGTTGGTCTCCAAATTTAATACTAGAGAAGAGTACTCGCAGTTACTGAAAGCTAGTTCAGAGCCAATTACAACTAATAAATAAATCATTTGCATGTTTGTCAGTTTGTTACAAGTAATGAAAATATTATGGGCTTTGATGTAACTAAGACTACATTAGAAATTTTAACTCAACAATAAGTAGCCACCTATTAATAAACAGTACCATGAAATAAGACACTTTTAAAATTGATTGTTTATGGAGGCTTTTTGTTATCTATTGTACAGTTATTTTCTATTTAAGTAAATTCAATGTTCTTGATTTTGTTTTGTTTTGATTTAATTTTTTTTCTTTTGTGCACGTTTTGTTACTCTACTAATCTCGATTAAAAAGAGGGACGGTTTAACTCTCAAAAACTAATTTAATCATGCCATATTTTTCTTTGTCTGTCCTAAGTCAGGAGCCTTGTCAGTGGTTATCGTATGTCATGTCTTCATGTTTTTGGCGGTTGTTTTTAGAATTTAGTTTAAATGGCAGATTTCTTGATTGTTTCTGTCAAATCTGTTCTTATCTTTTATAGTCTCGTAACGATTTAGAGCTCTACAAACTGTAAAGACACCTGTCTATTGTTGAAGATTGTATGTTGCATTCAGATGTCTTTTGGTTATTTTAATCGTTGAATTGATACATGTCATTGAAGCATTTCCCACATTTTTATGCCCCCGCCGTACCGGAGGGGGCATTAAGTTTTACCCTTGTCCGTCTGTACGTACGTACGTACGTACGTACGTCCCGAAATTGGTTTCCGTTCTCTTACTTGAGTTTGCCTCAACCAAATGTAATGAAACTTATACACAATGCTTATTACCACAAAACACAGATCAAGTTTGAATTTTGGTGGCGTCACTTTAACCGATCTAGAGTTATGCCCCTTTATAAAAGGAAATATTGCATAATTTTTAGTTTCCGTTCTCTAACTTAAGTTTGCCTCAACCAAATGTTATGAAACTTATACACAATGCTTATTACCACAAAACACAGATCAAGTTTGAATTTTGGTGGTGTCACTTTAACCGATCTAGAGTTATGCCCCTTTATAAAAGGAAAAATTGCAAAATTTTTATTTTCTTCTAAATATCAAGTTTATATAATATATTTTTAAAATTGGAGTTATCTTCCTTTGACCATGATTATAGTTGAATCAACTACAATCAATGCTTTATACAATGCAATGTTTAATTTTGACTACCACTGATAAAACACAGATCAAGTTGAATTTGGGTAGTGTCACTTTAACCATTATTGAGTTATGCCCCTTTATAAATAGAAAGATTGCAAAATTTTTTAGTTTCCATTCTGTAACTGAAGTTTTCCCCAGCCAAAGATTGTGAAACCTATACACAATATTCATTCCAACAAAACTCAGTAAAGATCAAGTACATTTTTTTTGTTTCAGTTCTCTAACTTGAGTTTGCCTCAACCAAATGTTATGAAACTTATACACAATGCTAATTACTACATAATACAGATTAAGTACGAAATTAGGTGGCAACACTTTTACCATTCTAGAGTTATGTCCCATTATAAACATAAAAATTGCTGAATTTTTTAGTTTGTCTCATCCAAATGTTGTAAAACTTATACACAACCGTTCTAGAGTTATGCATCATTACAAATAGAAAAATTGCTGAATTTTTAGTTTCTGTTCTCTACTTAAGTTAGCCTCAACCAAATGTTATGAGACTTACACACAATGCTTATTACCACAAAACTCAGATCAAGTTCAAATTTGGGTAGTGTCACTTTTACCGTTCTTCAGTTATGTCCCTTTATAACTATATGATATGCAAGCGGGGGCATCATCTGTGTCCACATGTGGACACTATCCACATTTATTTTATATACATAATAATAATGTGTAAATGCATCATAAAGGGCTGAATATGCTATTTCTTATTACTTCTAGAAACCAGGGAGTTTGAATTGAAGAGTAAGAACATTATATGAGTAAATACCAGCATATCCAACTACAGTCTAAAAAATTTGCGATTCTCTGTGTTCTAGAGATGTCTTTTACATTTTATTGTATCTTTTGGGTTGGTACATGTATTGGGTGTAATACCAAGCAATGCTTTTTGTTTCAGTTCAATATTTAGACGTCAGTTTGAACAAATCATGCTACCAGATAAAAAGGAGACACATTTCGAATGTTCTCATGTGAGAAATGATTATTTTCTTAAAATTAAACATTAAATTTCAGAACGGAATCAGTGTGAATTATACTGTAAGGCGTCTTACTATGGATTTTATATGAAGTTTGGAGATAAAGTTGAGGACGGAACCACATGTAAAGATTCGGACGCTGACGGGATTTGTGTGAATGGGCGTTGTCAGGTAAGTACTTGATTACAGATAGCTTCATGCGATATGAGGCTAAAAGATATTAGTATTATTAAAAAGTTATAGAATACATCAGACAAAAACATGTGTGAAAAGTGAACATACAATACAAATACAAATACAAATACAAATAATTTTATTAAATAAAAAACCAGCAATATGGATTCCACTTGGAACACAAAAAAATCATACAATAATTAAAATAATGATAAAGGGGGACAGTTCGTAAGTCAATTATTTATTAGAGCATCTCTTTCTTTGGACAGTTGTTTTAAAAGCTAATGAATTATATATATGATGCCTGTGTCTTTATTGCTTAAAAGCCAAATTAATTTGTTTTCATCAGAAAGTTTAATAAAATTCCTATTATTATTATTATTTAATTGATCAAAATATGGTTTGCGTACTGTTGATAAGAATGGGCATTGAATTAAAAAAATGGATTTCATCTTCAACAGAATTTTTAAATAAATTACATTTTCTTTCACTAATATTCAAGTTACAATATCTTCTTTTCTCAATGTTGAGGTTATGTGAGCTTACTCTAAATTTAGTTAACAATCTTCTCTCATTTTCAATACCATAACTTAAATATTTTTTTTAATTTGAAAATGTTTTTAAATTTACGATATGTTCTTCAAACATGTTCATGTCCTAAATTCATATATCGTGATTCATGTGTATTGCTAAACATCTTTCCAATAAAATGTAAACTATGTTTGGAAAGTTTTAAAATCTAGCTTCAGTAAGGAGTATACCATTCACTGTTATTGTATGACTAGGAACTAATTTATGTAGAGAAACATATTAAAAGCTTGCAATCAAGATTGCAGAAAAGCGTTTCGACTTCGTTTGAATCATTCAAAACTATTTGATAATCTATATTGCATAAGTTATTTGCAACTAAATGTAAAAAACAGCTGCGGATTCATTTAATATTGTTGAAATAAGAAGTTCAATAACGAGCAGTTAATAATCAAGAATACTGATGAAATTTTACATCCGACAACTTGCCTTTTTGAAATTAGAAAATTTATGAGCGAGGGATTGATATTTCTTATAGTACAGATCTTTAGTTACACAAATTTTTAATGAGAAATAAGAAACGTCTTTGAAATAAAAAGATTTTACTTCCGATAGAATAAATGTTTCAAATTTAATTATATAAGATGAGAGACTTGATGTGTCTTTTAATCTTTAACTATTACAGCAGACATAAAATACATATTTCGTCCCATATATATATAATTATATATAAATAATAATATACGTCATGGCACAAGGTGAAAGCGACCCAACATTAAAAAGTGTTGTGACTGTGTTTTCTTTCGTTGGGTTTACTATCTCATCAGAATAATTTCTGGATTACACATGAAAAGCAAGGTTGTTCAGATAGAATTGCAAGTAACCGGTTTAATATTTTATGGTTCTTATCGGACAGTATTATAATAGGAAAAGGGAAGTTAATGCGGTACATCATTTTGACATTATTAGGCTTTGTACATGTATCCTTTTCGTTGATGAAAGAATTGAAAAAATGATTAAACAATGCCTAGGGTCGAAGCCGACAATATTTTACAGTACAAATGTTAATATTAAACATTATAGTTGACATTGGCTTCGATGTTAATGAAACTTGTCCTTATTCTAACAGCTAAGGTGCTTATCATTTGGCAAATTGGACAGTATTGTTGGGAAGGAAGCATACAAATAAATTAAAAGCAGTCAGCTGTACGTGTCTATGTGCTGTGCCACAGCTGAACAAGAAATACAAAATTCTAAATTGATTTATTGTTATTTCAAACAAATGACTTTATTGTACTAGAATGTTACTAAAAGGATTTTTGATATTCCGGATACAGTTTGTGTCTTAACCATCACCAGTTATTAATTAGTTTATTGAATCATTCAATGGGTCATGATAAAAATTCCAGTTAGCAATCACGATCTCAAGTACAGGTTATAATACTTACAGATACATATTATATATGGTATTAAAAGACAGCCTTGTGTGCCAAAGGGACTTTATAACGCTTTACTAATTGGAGTCGTATAATTTCTATAATAACCTTAATTTCTTAATGATTTATAATTTTATCAACGGAAAATTTAAGAAAAATTAACATACGAAAGTATAAACATCAAGTGATTGATTGATTAATTGTTCCTTTTTTAACCGTTCAGTGGCAAGTGTTTCATGCATATTTAAAAAAAAATATATAAAAAAAAAACAGTAAAGTTTGTAAAGTGGAATAAGCGAGATATATTAAAGTAAAACATTTACAAAACTATTAGAATAGCAATAATCGAGGTTCTTTTATCATGTTATAGACCGTTATGTAGTATCTGTGTCACAGATGACCAAATATATGGTCCAATTGTCGTAACCCCCATCCCGTCCACGTTTTCTCGATTGTGATATCACCGAATAAGACTCATCAACGAATGTGTGTACATACCATGAGCAACATGACGGGTGCTGCTAGTGGAGCTGGATCTCAGAGCACCGGAGATCACCCCAGTTTTTTGGTGTGGTTCGTCTGGCTCAGTCTTCAGTTTTCTATATATTTTTTGTGAAGCTGATTATCTTTTTCCATGACGTTTTCCGTTTCTTTAGACTTGTGAATGTCCCTTTGGTATATTCCTCCTCTTTGTTGTTAGTTGTCTGTCTGTAAACAATAAACTCATCATAGATACCAGGCTTGAAATTTTGCGCGACAGACGCTCGTTTCGTCTACAAAAGACTCAGCAGTGACGCTCGAATCAAAAAAGTGAAAAACGACAAATAAAGTTCGAAGTTGAAGAGCATTTAGGACCCAAAATTCCGGAAGGTTTTACCAAATACAACTGAAGTAATATATATGTAAAAGTACCGAACTTCCCATCTTATTTTTACCGATAGATAGTATAGCTATTTATATATCGTTTTTAACATTGGAATTACATAAATTTTATTTCATTGAGGATTTCCAGGTGTCCATGCGTTAATTAAAGATTTACCTGTATCTATTTACAGGAATGCACTTGTATAACTACACTTTCATTATCTGAGAGTTTATATTAATTAAGAGCTAGTATGCAATTACGATGATCGAGTCTGATAAATTTAGAAACGTGTTGAATCTGCATTTTGTTATATTTGTTAAGGCATTCGGTTGATTGATCCATGCATTAAATAACTTTGTAACTTGAATAGGCACACTTCAAGAATTAAGTGTAACAGACCATCTGAAGGTACTGATAAAAGTTTAATATAGTTTAAATTTAATCATTGGTATCTAAACTATCATCATGCATTAATTCTGATGCTTCACAGCATTGGGCATTTGAAAAGTAAACATTAATTAATACTTAATTGTCTTTCTTGAGTGAATAAAATGTCAATTTTTTTGCATCTGAATTCTTTGTTTTATTCTTTGTGCGTGCGTCATACATGGTTAACGTCTAGAGCATATACATTAATATGAAAGCTAAAATAAAGGTAGACGAAATGCCTGGGTAAATGACAATTATTATTTTTACCTTAACACAATATCTGAACATAAAAATGGTACGCAGACGTTTTTTACAGGACAATTTCAACCATTGTTTTACTGTATAATGGCAGAGCAAATAACTATATACTATTAATATATGGAAGTTCAGAAAGCTCAAGCTGTAGTTTTCAATGTTTAGTTATACGCATATCTTTTTGATAAGTTTGGTATTGGTCTTCCCGGTGTAAAATTGTAATTTTCATATAGATTTTCGTCTTTGGAAATCGTTTTTTTTTCTTGCTTCATGAACATGTTAATATATTTAAGTGTTTTTATATTTTTCTCATTAAGAGAAGTATTTTTGGTATGCGACTTTTTTTTTATCAAGTATTTAATAATAAACTTAACAAAGATACCAGGCTTAAAATTTTGTACGCCAGACGCGCGTTTCGTCTACAAAAGACTCATCAGTAATGCTCAAATCAAAAAAGTTAAAAGACCAAATAAAAGACATTCTGAACAGTTTTATTTGTATATTCACATTCTTTTACACCAGAAATGAACAAACAATTGACATGTCAATGATTAGCAAAAAGGAAATTATAAAATGTTAACAATTAACTTCTGAAAAAACAATTTAGCAACAAAATGTAACGGTTATGCTGACCTACCGTATCCCCCACATCAATATATGAAAGCATGATTGTGCCATTTGATAATGATAATAGGTAGTAAATTGTAAATGTAACATTCTAAGTAGGTGTTTCTCTCTTGGACACCCCAACGGTTTGCTGGGTTATAGATATATGGTCACCAGGAATTCTCAAATTTAGAATTAAAACTATGACAAAGAAGGTCGTCCGTTTGGTTAAAAGGAATGTATAACTAGAAAGTCATGGAAATGAATCTTTTCTCTTGGAACTATTAGTGATAAAAAATGAAATAAGACAATTACCGAATTCCATGTTAAATTCAAGAATGGGGGAAGTCAATAAAAACTGACAAACCCAAACGTTCGACTTTATCAACCAACTGTCATATTACCTTTTTTAAAGTTACTTATATAACCTCGGCGTTTTATTCACAAGCTTAATATAGATCTAGATGGCTAGTCAGTCGGACAAGTTTACACAGCAATAAATTCCTTCGAATCAATATTATCATATATATCTAAATGAAACAAAAAATTATTGTTATTCCTTCCGTGAGAGACACATTTTTAGGCGACATAAGCTATATATATGTTGCTTTCACAATTGTGTTGTGTTGACTACCTTGAAGTTTTTCATGTTTCATCGATCATTTGACATCATCAATCTAAGAAATCATTTTGTCGAAGCCAATCATAACTTTAACTGGGTTTTTTAACAGCCAATTGTCAAACAAAACAAGGTGTACCACGTCTGGAAAAGTGTTGGAGATAGTTCTTTAGTAACTAATTAGCCTTGATATAGACACTTACGAATTAAGTGAAGACAAACTGCTTTCGAGTTAGTCTAGCTTTTCTTGACTCTTAAA